CCCGGGTTCGATCCTCAGCACCACATACCAACAAAGATGTTGTGTCCGCCAAAAACTAAAAAATAAATATTAAAAATTCTCTCTCTCTCTCTCAAAAAAAAGAATAAACAAAACAAATAAATGAATTTCATTAGATTGAGATTTCAATTGAGAGCTAATCCAAGGGAAGGAAGATTCCATCTTTTAATTCATTTCTAGGTTTGGGTGTGCACATGTATTTATGATTTCCATTCAAGTGACCACATCTGAAGTGCCTCATGCCTCAAAAAAACAATGATAAACACAATAATAATTGTTACGTATGTCAAGCATTTAATTGCTGCTTTTCAAAGAAATTGGCTTCAGGATGGATAGGTATGATATTAACAGTGATCACAAGTGGATTTTCTATTAGTAGCATAAGTGATGGTAAGCATAAAACAGGTGCTATAAGTTTGCTCCTTCATGGTTGGATTTTATTTTTACTGAGCCCTTATTTTTTTGAAGTGCCATAAGGGACAATATGATTGCTCCTTATGTTGCAAATAATGATTATCTCCCTCTCACTGTCATCACTGTCATAAGTCATCATATCAATGTCTGTCACATTATCACCGTCTGACACATTATCACCGTATACATCATCCTTGGAATCTACCTTCTGAAAGGACCTGGTAAAACTCTTCATATTACTTGAACTGAAAAGATTTCCAGCATTTTCCTTCTTTGACTCAGAAATATGGACCAAAGTCTCAGAAGTAGTTTTGCAAACAAGGCATTTTTCCCTGTAACATTGACAAGTCTTGGCTAATAGAGGCTTGGCTACCAAGACTGTCTTGCCTATACTTATTGACCTTTTAAGATGTCTGGGTGCCTTGACCGATTTTCTTAGCCTTAATGGCTTGGATAACAAGATTTGGTTTTGTGGATGAGACAGAAAGTGTGACTTGACTAGTCTGGCTGAAGACTGTCCACTAGCTGGCCAAGGTAGACTGACTGGCTTATCTGGATAGGAAGTGCTGACCGGACTGACTATCTTGTGGGCATGGGCTAGCTTATATGACTTTTCTAGGCTATATGTCTTACATGACTTTTCCAAGTGAGATGACCTGAGGTATCTTTGGGGACTTGCTGGCTTACGTGACTTTTGTCGACTCCGACTGGATCGTCTGAATAACAGTCCTGCACAGAATGGTAAGAATGACTTTTCATGAGTTGATGACCTGATTAACTTTTGCTTACTTTGTGGTCTACATAACTTTTTTGCCCCTGAAGATCTGACTAACTTTTCTGCACTGGAGGGTATGGATGACTTTTCTGGACTTGAGGGCCCAGATAACTTTTCTATACTGGATAGCATGGAATGTTTTTCTAGACTGCACAAATTTTCTGTCCTGGATTCACTGAATGATGTTCTGGATGGCCAAGCTGACTTGTCTTCAATACATTCGTCCTTGTCCCTGAAATGTAGAAATTTTGGAGTATAACAATTTCAAACAAACAAAAAATCCTACCACTACTATCAGAAAACAAAGAACTATGTCAACTTACACTTTGGATTTTTTCTCTCTAGTAGAAAAATTGAACAAAGTAAGAATTGAACAAAGAGTGTGGTTAAAAAGTATAACTCAGGTTATGGATAGGAATTTATGTTGAATGTTTTTCCTGAAGAGCACTTTACTGTTTATATGCACAGGGCCCTGAGTTCAATCCCCAGCACCATGAAATAAATAAATAAATTTTATTTATTTTACTGTTTCAACCACATTAGATAATCTTATAGTTTATATGTGGAATGACACAAAGTTGTTTCAAATCTACTATTAAGAGAAAGACACAGAGGGATAGAAATTCCTTATTCCAGAAACTAAATGTTTTATTTAAAATGTCACAAACTAGTCAAGCATGGTGGTGCACGCTTGTGATCCCAGCTGGTTGGAGGCTGAGACAGGAGGATTGCAAGTTTGAGGCCAGGCTCAGCAACTTAGTGAGACCCTATCTCAAAATGAAAAATAAAAAGGGCTGAGGAAGTAATTCAGTGGCAGAGCATCCCTGTATTCAATCCCCAGTACCAAAAACAGAAAAAATGAAAGTTGAGCTGTGGATGTGGCTCAGTGGTATAGCCCTTCCCTAGTATGCACAAGGCCCTGGGTTCACTCCTCAATACCCACCCCCAGAAGAAAAAAGTCACAAACTGATAACATAAGAAAAACAGTTCCTTAAACCAAAGTCATTTTTTCCCTATCATATTCACAACATCCAGTTATCTATACATGTTTATACTCATAATATCCTCTATAATTAAGGAACTACAGTACCAGGACCACATTTTAGTCACCAGTCCTCAGACTAGGAAATTTATAGGGAACTAGTATATCATGGCCAGCCTAACCCTCTTATATGAAAGGCAGGGACTGAAGTCATGAGAGTAACGATTTTGAGTAATATTTTATGCTATTAAATCTTAAAATGATAGAGCATCCAAATGTTTAATTGCCTTTGGAAAACAGAGATCCAACTCCCTGCCTCTCTCTCTCTCTCTTGATTTTCCCTCTCTGATTTTACTCAGATTCTCATGTTCTCTTTTCTTCTTCTTAATTTATAATGAAAGTAATAGCCTGGGGGTTCAGTTGAACCCTGAGTGGGAGACAGCTTTGGCCAACATTAATAATGTATTTGAGAATATTTAAGAGCTGATATAATTTAAGTGAAAGTATCCCACCAACAAGAAGTTGGTAGTTCTTTAGAGGTCTAGAGGTAATATTAAGTAACCTGGACAACAACGAAATCTCTGTTATATGTATATATACGTATTTGCATTCTTAATTTAAAGATATAAAACTAAACTTTGGTGTAGCTCAGTTGTAGAGCACTTGCCTAGCATGTGCAAGGCCCTGGGTTCCATCCCCAGCACTGCTAAATAAATAAATAAATAAATAAACAAACAAACAAATAAATAAATAAATGCATCAAACTTACATTCCAGCTTCATGGGCATCTTCATTCATGCAGTTATAATGCAGAAAACAAAAACAGGTAAAGACGAAGGCTATGATCATAACGCCAATTATAATGATGAGTAGATGTCTCCTAAAATTGTCCATTTTTGATTCCATTGATTCAAGTTGCTTAGCTCCTGCAAAGACATTATATCATCAGAGAATGTGTTAGGTAACCAAGCTTCCTTCCACTTTAACAGTGGCTTGGTACTATAGGTCAAGATCAAATCTATTCATCAATGATGTTTTAAAAACTCATAAAGGTTCCACTGTAACTTTGTTGGCTGGAATACATCTCCAACTACAGTATATATGTGTGTATATAATATACACACATATAATACACACACACACACACACACACACACACACATCAGAAATTGAACTCAGAGACACTTAACTTCTGAACCACATCCCCAGCCCTTTTTATATTTTATTTAGAGACAGGGTCTCACTAAGTTGCTCTGGGCCTCGCTAAGTTGCTAAGGCTTATTTTGAACTTGTGATCCTCCTGCCTCAGCCTCCCGAGCTGCTGGGATTACAGGTATGTACCACCATTCCTGACTGCCTCAGCCACAGTCTAGAAGTCAAATCTGAGAGGCATGTCTAGCTAATCCACACAGTTACCTGGGTTACCCCTGTATTGTGTCTTGCTCATTATAGTACTTAGGTTTTTGAGGGTGTGCATGCCTTGAGTGTTAATGTGTATAAATATGTGTGTTGGGAAAGGGGAGGGGACACAGGGATCACTTGAGCCCAGCAACTTGACAGCAGTCAGGGCAATATAATGAGACCTGTCTAAAAAACAAAACAAAACAAAACAAAACCTACGTTTTTTTTTTAAGTCTTATGCCAGAGTCATCCACATAGTATTATCTAGTGTGGATGGGGCACTGGCTGAGAAAGGGGAGTGAAGAGGGATCAGAAATCTGTATTCTTTTTTTTTTTTTTTTTTGTACTAGGGATTGAACTCGGGGTACTCAACCACTGACCCACATCCCCATCCTATTTTGTATTTTATTTAGAGACAGGGTCTCACTTAGTTGCTTAGTGCCTTGCTGTTGCTGAGGCTGCCTTTGAACTTGTGATCCTCCTGACTCAGTCTCCTGAGCCTCTGGGATTACAGGTGTGAGTCACCATGCCCCGTAAATCTGTGCTCTTTGTGCTTATAGTTTGCTTGGATTTTACATACAGAAATAAAAATATCTGGCTGGGGATGTGGCTCAAGCAGTAGCATGCTCGCCTGGCATGCGCGGGGCACTGGGTTCGATTGTCAACACCACATAAAAATAAAAAAAATAAAGATATTGTGTCCACCTAAAAACAAAAAATAAATAAATAAAATATTAAAAATAAATAAATAAAAATATAATTGTGCTATAAATTATTGAAGATCTACTAATAGTAACATCAAAGTAACAGTAGATTTCCTAAATGTGGCTAGCTTTTGTAATTAAGTGTTTAAATGAATAATATAGTAGATCATAATTTATGAATTTTAAGGTTAGACACAAGAAAAAAAGAAATAAAAAAAAAAAAGGTTAGACACATACCTATGGTAGAAGATCCATCACTTTCGCTTGTATTTAAACAATTAATTGTCCAAATGGACAAAAATAGGACATAAATTAAAAAAATCATGTCCAGGGCTTTGCTCAAATGTTTCTTCTGCCAAGGTTACTACGGTATTTTATGTGGTTCACCCTGTTCTAGGGTTTATGACATCACTATCATTTTGCATCATCATCTGACATCATTTCGCTATGGGGAAACATTAGTTTCTGTAGACAAATTTTATCAAATGACTTTTAATCACTTATTTGCCTTCATGTCAAATACTCTATCAAATTCAAAACAAGGGACTGAAGGTGTAGCTCAGTGGTAGAGCACTTGCCTAGTATGTGTGAGGTACTGGGTTTGATTTTTTGCACCACATATAAATAAAATAAAAGTCCACTGACAACTAAATTTTTTTAATAATTAAAAACAAGAAAACTGAAGCATTATTGATCACAGAAGGAATATTTAGAGAAGGTAGGTGGAAATGGGCTAGTTCTAGAAATTGAAGCACTATTTCAGGAAGCACTTTATAGCCTTCTATGGACTAAATATTTCTGCCTTCCAAAAATTCACGTTGCAATCTAATCCCAATGTGATAGTAGTAGGAGGTGGACTCTTTGAGAGACAATTGTGTCATGAAAGTGGAGCCCTCATGAGTGAGATTAGTGCCCTTATAAAAAGAGGCCAGAAAACTAGCTCCTCCTTTTCACAGGATGAGGACATAAGGATAAGCCAGCAATATGCATCCAGAAGAGGACTTTTGTCAGAACCCAACCATAGTGGCACCCTTATCTTGATCTTTCAGTTTCCAAACTGTGAGAGATAGATTTCTGTTGTTTTATATGTGACCTAATCTATGATAATTTGTTATAGAAGCCTGAAATAAGACAGAAATTTTGACCAAGAAGTGAGGTATTATTATCACAAAGACATAAAAAGGTGGAAGCAGCTTTTGAACTGATAATGGGTGGAGACTGGAAGAGGTTTGAAGAAGCTGAAACCATCCTGAATGGACTAAGTCCTGTCTTTCTTTCTCTTAACAGCAGATTTGAAACAACTTTGTGTCATTTCATAAGTAGACTATAAATTTATTTAATGTGGCTGAAACAATAAAATACTCTTAAGGAAAAGCATTCATCATGAATTCCTATCTGTAACCTGAATTATAGCTTTTACCACATTTCAATTCTTATTTTGTTCAGTTTTCCTATTAGAGCAAAAGAAGGCCAAAAGCCTAAGCTGACATAGTACTGTGTGCTTTCTACCGATAGTGATAGGGATTTTGTTTTAAATTGTTACACTCCAAAATTTATTTATTTATTTATTTATTATTATTATCATTATTTTGGTGGTACTATGGACTGAACCCTGGGGTGCTCTACCACTGAGCTACATCCCCAGCCCCTTTTTATTTTTATTTTGAGACTGAGTTGCTGAGTCTGGCCTTGAACTTGCAATCCTCTCATCTCTGCTTCCTGAGTCCCTGGGATTACAGGTATATGCCACTACACCCAGCTCCCAGCCCTATTTCTTGATATTTTAATTTCTTGATAGCATTTTTATTACGGAAGACAAAGATTTAGAGCTCATACAATAAGTCCTATACAAGTAATCCCAGTCATAAGAGTTCCCTCCTGATCTAATCATCTCCCCAAAGCCTGCCTCCTAATTTCATCACTTTGGGGATTAGGATTTCAACATGTGAATTTTGGAGGAACATGAACATTCAGTTCACTATAAGAACCCAAGGAAGACATTTTGTAAGATGGAAAAAACCAGCTCAGTTAAAAATACATGGGAGCTTGGTATAGTGATATACATCTATAATCCCAGGTACTCTGGAGGCTGAAGCAGGAGGATGGCAAGTTCAAGACTAGACTGAGAAACTTAACAAGACCTTGTCTCAAAATAAAAATGAAAAGGGATGGGAGCTGGGTGCAGTTGCTCACTCCAGTAAACCCAGCAATTTGAGAGGCTGAAGCAGGAGGGTCACAAATTCTAGATTAGCTTCAGCAATTTAGCAAGACACTCCACAAGTTAGTGAGATCCTATCTAAAACTTAAAAAAAAAGAGCTGGGAATGTAGCTCAGTGGTAAAGCACTCCTGAGTTCAATCCCCAGTACCAAAACCAAAACAAAAATATCAACAACAATAACAACAAAAAACTGTGGGCTGGGTGCAGTGGGGCATGCCTGTAATCCCAGCAGCTCAGGAGGCTGATGCAGGAGGCTCATGAGTTCAAAACCAGCCTTAGCAAAAGCAAGGTGCTAAGCAACTGAGTGAGACCATGTCTCTAAATAAAATATAAAATAGGGCTGGGGATGGGGCTCAGTGGTCGAGTGCCCCTGAGTTCAATCCCTGATACTAAAAAGAAAAAAGAAAAGAAAAAAACTATGGGAAAGAATATGGGGGAAGATATTAGATGTTGAAACCACAAGAAAGAGTGGGGATAAGTAATGGGGATAGGTTCACAGAGGTTAGGAAAGAGGGCCATAGTCAGAATATCACTGTTCAAGGTATATAGAAATGTAGTTCAATAGATTGGAGTTTGGCATAGATCCAGTCAAGATGGGGCTAGAGTAGACAAGAGGGGATTGTGGGGAGGCATTTGAAGAATTTCTGTCAGATGGCTGCTATTTTCTTTTTTTTTTTTAGTTGTTCAAAACATTACAAAGCTCTTGACATATCATATTTCATACATTAGATTCAAGTGAGTTATGAACTCCCATTTTGACTCCAAATACAGATTGCAGAATCACATCAGTTACACATCCACATTTTTACATAATGCCCTATTAGTAACTGTTGTATTCTGCTACCTTTCCTATCCTCTACTATCCCCCCGGCTGCTATTTTCTTAATGAATTAAGAGTAGAAATGGCAGAGTTTTGAGGACAATGGGGAAGGTTTGATATAGATGCCTTTGAGAATGGAAAGACGAAAAAAACAATCAGATGTGAGGTGGTTGGGAATTTTGCCTTTCTCTAGCTAATGAGAAAAATGTTCCCTTTAATGATAAAGCTATTTCTGTGATAGTTGATGTGTTCATTAAGTTAAAAAATTAATCATCCTAATGAATACTACTTGGGAAGTAGATGTTAATCAGGGCTGCTACATAACAGGGCATTCGACTTGCTGAAGAGGTTTTCCTGAGAATGATAGTGTCAGTATTTGACTAATGGACCAGTATATACTGTTCAAGGAGCTGACTCATCTCAGAGCTCTGAAGCCTAGTCCCCTAAAGTAGAGCAACCATGAAATATTTTGCTTGAGCACATGCTCCAGTCTCTTTTTGTTTAGCCTATCTCTCCCTGCCCTAGTTTTTGAATCACATATGAACAAGGGCAGCCTAATGTAAGACATTTTTCCTGAAGAGGTGTGTACAGATATATGCTGATAAGAAAAACACACTGTATCCCCTCAAATGGACTGGCTCTTTCACTTTTGTGTTGTATCAACCTGAATTACCTATATGCCATTCAGAAATATTTTATGAAGGTTTCCTATGTACCATTGAGGCCTTGTAGGCCAAGTTAAGAATGTTGGACCTAGCCCAGTGTAGTGGCACATGTTTGTAATCCTAGCAGCTTTGGAGACTGAGGCAGGAGGATTGTGAGTTCAAAGCCAACCTCAGCAACTTTGTGAGGCCCTAAGCAACTTAGTGAGGCACCAAGCAACTTAGTGAGATTCTGTCTCTAAATAAAATACAAAACAGGGATGGGGATGTGGCTCAGTGGTTGAGTGCCCCTGAGTTCAATCCCTGTACCCCTCCTCAAAAAAAAAAAATGTTGGACTTTAAGAATAAATGGAAATTACTGAAGAGTTGTTATCTAGGGAATGACAAGATATGATGGGTATCTGAGAAAACCCACTCTAACCATGGTATCAGGAATAGATTGGAGAGACATACAGGAGTGAAAGAAAGTAGCAAGACAATTAGAAAGCTGTCAGAGAGGTCCAAGTGAGAAAAGACAATGCCTTGAAGCAGGGTGGTAGTGGTACAGATGGAGAAAAATGAACTACTTTGACTTTTTTTGTGGTGCTGGGGAGGGAACCTAGAACTTCATGCATGCCTGGAAAGTGCTTTACCACTGAACCACATCCCCAACTCTACTTTCAGAAATATTTTGAAAGTCAAATGAACAAAAGTTAATGATGAGTAGGTTATATGGTGTGAGGTCAAGAGGTAGCAAGGATGATTCATTCATTCCACAGAAAGTATTGAGTGTCTATTGTGACTAAGATTTTGTACTAGGTGGTAAACATTCAAATAGACAGTATTTACCTTCAAGGAGTTTGAAATCTAATGGGAGGAGAGAGGTATGTACCTAACCAATCACTAGGCACTGTGTATATGTGGTCTCATGAAGCTGGGGTGTCACAGGGTACAGCACCAGGCCACGGGAGCATCTATTCAGAATGTCAGCTCTGAGGGGATGATCCTTGAGCTGAGGTGGGAATTTTTATTTGTTTTTTCATATGAATAGGACTTCCTTGAATCTAGAAAGTAGGGAAAAGGCATTGGATTGCAGACAAAAAAGTCAATATGTGCAGAGCATGGTTGAGGGGACTTCATTTCCACGTGGCTAAGATGAAGAATGTCCAAAGGTAAGGGAGGGGGTGAGTAGCTGGAAATGAGGCCAGAGTGGGTAAGCAGGGACCAGGTTATAAAAAGGGCCTTTCTTTAAGTCTATTTCCTCAACCCTAAAATGAATAGAAGAGATGAAAGAACATGTTCTATAGGAGTTGCAGTCTTTGAAATTATGCATCTGGGGCCATTGGAATAGAACAAAATTAAATATTCATTGGAAAATACAACCCACTTTTACCCTGAAGCTCTAAATAATCCTGTTCCTCAAATACCTTTTAACTGTATAAAGATCAGAAAATGTTATTAAAGATCAGAAAATGTTATTTTGCTTTTGGAATAAGTGGCTTTTAAAATTTGAGCAGCACCTTTAAAGTGAAAGAATGTATCTGTCAACTCTTTTTAAAATCAGTTCCCCCCCCCCAGTGATGGACAGATGAAATAAATATCTTAAAGCCAATATTTCAGAAATAGTTTCCATATTAATTTGACA